AGACTTAAATAGACAAACTTTAAAAGAGGAGGCTGACTTTTCAAATTTGATTCTGCTGAAAATTTCAACGAACTTTGCCGCTCTTTGTTGCATTTTTCAGCCGCAAACTACTCCAATTAAATTATTTTAAATAGGGAGCGTCTGTATTGAATTCCAACGTCGCCGAAAGATAATTATTTCGAGCCTTGAAAATGTGGAGGAACTTTGTATATAGGTGTAGTTTAGTTTTTTTTTGTTTTCCATGCAAAATCAGGTACCACAAAGAATCATCGGCGTGGGCCGAGTGATATATCATATTCAAGCCCTTTCAGTCCTGATTTGAACAAAATCTGAAAAGTCCCAAAAAATTTTCTAGTGTCGAGAAAAACCGGTTTGAAAATTTTGATTTAGTTGTCCTAGTTCGAGCAAGGAAAGCAAGCGAGCAGGCTTGCAACCGCTGAAACGCCTAATTCATGCAAGTAAAACTAGTTTTCGGAGTTTTTTAGCTTCTTTTTGGGTACCAGAAAATTCAAAAATTGTCTGCAGAAAATATTGATTTTTTTAGATTTTCTAATAATTTTTTATAAAAATCTTTGATCAATTTGCATATATTACTTGGATTATCAAAAAAAACTAATTTAAAAATGATAATTTTATGTCAGATCCCTTTATCACGAAGCAGTAAAAACTACAATCATTTGGAAAAAAATTATTTCTAAACCGTAGTTTTCTAAAGGCTATGGTTGGAATATTCTGTGCTACCTGCACAGTAACCCGGCTATCCTTGTTTGAAACGTGTGTTACTTCTAACTCAACGTAATAACACTGAAGTTGCTTACTCTAAAAAAGATCGCTATGAATACAATCAAGGTCACAGAAGATAGTTAAAATAGCATTTTCTTTTCTCTGGTAAAAACTCTTTGGTATTGGTAACTCAGTTCAAGACAAAATTTTATATCTCCAGATCAAATTGCACAGTGATGTGCTCTCGTGGTAACACTTGCATAAAAACGCGTGGAAACTAAGTGTTTTAATTGAAAACTCAAGGAGCTCCCGATTTCTTTTTCGCCTAAATTTAAAGTTTACCTAAAGTATTCTTTCAAGTGACAACACGCGCACTTTTTACAGAGTAGAAGTTCAAATTGATTTTTGTGTTTTTTCGGACTTCTGAAAGGTCTTAATAACCTGCATTCTGTTTACCTCGCGTGATTGTTATGAAAGTAGGCGTGATTACCAATTAGGTTATTCCAAATATACCCGAGAAGACAAAAAAAAACTTGTCATACTATTACATATTATACAAAAACTGCTTATCATACTATTTCAAACAACTTCATACATCAAAAAACTACCTTTAAAATAGCAAGTTAAAAATGTTTCTTACTAAGAAATACTATACTAAGCATTTTTGCCACATTCTGGAATTACATAACAAGAGTTTTGCCATACTTTTTAAAACAAAATTTTATGAACATAGCGAAAGCAATTTTTTGTTCTATAAATTTGAATGATAATCTTTTTTATTCCCTACTATGAAAATCTATGATAAGCATTTCTTGCATACTTTGAAATTATATGATAAGCATTTTTTCCATAAATGAAAGTACAAAAAACTTTTGTTTTGATTTTTTGTGTTGTATCCAAAACACTAACCAAGGAATTTTTGTCACAAGAAAACCCAGAATATAATTGGCAGTTACCACGCAGATAATCTCCATGTGGTGAATTTGACCAAGCAAATTAATTTTGAAATTTTCACATGGAATTAAACACCAAAAATTTAACTTTTTGTATGTGGCTAGATAGTTTTTGAAAATAAAGTTTGAAAGTTTTGGTGGTTGAGAAAAAGCCTGTTGTTTTTTTTACAAAATTGTTTTTACCTAAGCATATGAAACAAAAAACACTTTTTTGTGGTTATTTGGATTTTTTTTGGCAAAAAACTTATCCCGGATTGAGTTATGAACACAATAAGTCAAATTTTGCATGAGAAACCTTTTTTTTGTTAAAATATATAATAAAACACAAAAACAAGTTTCCAAGCAAAAATTTGCGTTTTTTCTTTAAAAAATGCATATCATAAAATTTTCATATGCAAAAACTATATGATAAGCATTTTTCTGACTAAAACCGAAATTATATCTTTGACAGTAACTTGATCTCAATCACTGAAAACCGTTACTAAACTAGTATTGCCCCAACAAATTTTCAAATGTTTTTTTTTTGAAATTTTTAATTATTCTCTTAGAAAATGCTTATCGTACAAATTCATAAATGAAAACTAAATGACAAGCTTTTTTTGAACAAAACTTAAATCAAAGTTTTACAATCAAATTGCTCTCTGTTATTGAAGCCTTCATTCAGGTAAAAAATTATTAAAACTTTTGGATGAAAAAGTGGTTATCATACAAGGTTCATGAATGAAAATTGTATGATAAGCATTTCGTTACAGAAATTTTTTTTTTTTAAAATCTCCCTAAAAACATGTTTCGGTGATTACACGAAACATATTTTTAGCAAGATTTTTGAACAAAAAATCTATAACAAAATGCCTATCATACAATTTTCATCCATGCAAATTGTATGATAAGCTTTTTTTCATCCAAATTGTTTCATCATTTTCTACCTGATCTAGAAGCTTCAAATGATCTAAAAGTGGTCAAATGAGTCTCTACATTACGCGGTCAAACTGTGTAATTTGTGAATTATAACGGGGGCTTCACAACAAACCTGGTCGAGGTGCTCATTTTATGTTTCGACTTTCAAAGTCGACCTATTGTCAGTGCTCTACCAAAAAATAAAAGTCGAGACAGGGGTTTGTGTCGAGCACCTAAACAATTCTCTGCATCCACTTGCATATCTCCCTGCTCCGATTTGGGGTGCTGCACCTTTTCGCACATGATTTTTCACATTCAGAGACCCATTGTTTTTGAGTCGCGCAATATCGCTCAGAAGGTTTTCAATCGCGCAAAGTGACCTCTGCCTAAATTTGCGGCTGATCATTTTGGGTCGCAAAATGTCGCCCCGAATTCGCGCCAAAATTATCAGTCGCTTTTCGATTTCTTTTGTGTTGCGCAAAGCCGCCCCATTTTTTGCGCCAAAATGCAACTTAGTTCTTTTGGGTCATCATAACGTCACTCTCAAGTTTTTCGTTGTTTCACAATGGTGACTTATCTTTTAAGGGCTAGGAAAATTCGCGCCGAAATCTTTTGATCGCGCAAAGTACCAACTTGTTTGTTTTGGGCCGTGCTAAGTAGGGGCAGATTTCGAGTTGAGGCGGTCGCAACTTGCTGATTTCTGGTCGCGATGTTCTTAAGTTCAACGCCCCCCTCCCCACCTCAGGAAATGGACCGATTGCTGACCGAAAGGCTCCCTTTTTGTACTATTTCGAGATTTCCATTTTATTTCTAAATAAATGCAAGGACGCTACATTCGCTCACTCCAAAAGTAAATCGAGGTCACAGAAGATCTGTTTCAAGAAAGTAATTAAATAAAAGCAATCACAACGCTCCCCTAGCTGTACAACTTTTTAAATGCTTCGTATCAATTACACTAATGACCTTATTTCCCTCTGCAGAAGAGCAAAGAACTAAAGACACATAAATGAATCACAACAAATTGGTTAGAATTTTGACACACTTTACACCAGGATGTTAAACGGAAAGAGCTTAATGCAATAAAAACTAAGAATAAAGTTTTATCCAACGGAGTTGACAGATAAAAGATTCTAAAATTTTGAACAAAAAAAAATGATTTAGGCGTGACAATTACTGGAAACTAACAATTGATAAACTTTCAGTTTTAAAAACTCAGCTATCATACTTTATAAATTTTAGTCAGTCAACTGTCAGTTGTTTACTCACTGCATGTGTGACTATCTTTTCAGAACAGTAAAAATTTAGTTTCAGTCACCATGGTGACTGAAAGTAAATTTTGAGAAACGAAAAGAGTTAAATAAGATCAGATTTTATGTTATGTAAAAATCAAAAAGCAATTCCAATTCAGGAGTTCAAGAAATAAAGTTGAATAAAATCCATTTCTTTTAATTAAATCAGACGGATAAATGAAAGCAGGAGGCATGCATGCGTCCTGCTTTCATTTATCCGTCTGATTTAGTTAAAAGAAATGGATTTTATTCAACTTTATTTCTTGAACTCCTGAATTGGAATTGCTTTTTGATTTTTACATAACATAAAATCTGATCTTATTTAACTCTTTTCATTTCTCAAACATCTCGGTGGAGCAGAAAAAGGAATATAGTGTTGTCTGTTTGGAATTAGTCAATTTTTCTCCTAGGAGGAGAAATTGTTGAATTTGTTATTTTATTGTTCCTAATCCATTACTTGAACTGGTCATTCCAATACCAACCATACCGACCTTCCTAGCAAACTCCATTAGAATAAGCAACTTTAGTGCTAATTCATTTGTTAGATGTAGCATACCTTTGAACTTAACTTTTTGATTTACCTTTCATTGATTTTAACTCAAATACAGATAGGTCAATAGCCTATTTTGTTAGGTATACTAAATTGACATTAACTAAATCTTGGCGCCTTCTTGACTAGCTGGTCCGTCCGTATTTGCGTTTCTCGATTTTCCCCGGTTGAGATAATTGGTAAGATAGCCAGCATTTAAATTAGTTTCTCGTTATCACTGTTTTATTTTTCTAATCAAAAAATTTTCTTTTCGTTAAAACAGTTAAATGAAAACTCGTAAAAATCAAAAAAAGTTTTAATTGAAGTATACTTGAATTTTCAATTAAAACCGTTGATTTTTACGAGTTTTCTTTCAACTGTTTCCTTACAACTGGAAACAGTTAAATGAAAACTCGTATAAACCAAAAAGTTTTAATTGAAGTATACTTGAATTTTCAGTTAAAACCTTTGGTTTTTACGAGTTTTCTTTCAACTGTTTCCTTTCAACTTGAAACAGTTAAATGAAAACTCGTAAAAACCAATAACGTTTTAATTGAAGTATACTTGAATTTTCAATTAAAACACTTGGTTTTTACGAGTTTTCTTTCAACTGTTTCAATGAAGAAAAGTTTTTGCTTAGAAAAATAAAACAATGACAAAAAACTAAACAAAAGAAACTATTCTTCTCGTTTCCCTTTTCCGAAACTTTGTCAAACAAAAACACGTAATTTTTCAAGTGAAAACACGTGCTCACTTTTCAGAGTGTAAGTGTCCAAATTACTATTCCTGTTTTTATCATGCTTCTGCAATGTCTTACTAGCCAGCGTTCTGTTTACCTTGCTTGATTGTTATGGAAGTTGGCGTGATGACCAATTAGGCTATTCCAAACATAGTTGGTCCGCAAATTTTATCTTGCAAATTACCTATCTTTACACCATAAAACTGATGCTTATGTGAAGCGGGAAAAAGGAAACAGGGTCATCACCTTACTCATAATGATGAGGAAATCTTCACTTAGTTTTCTTTTCATTTTAATCATTTTCATTGCCACTTTAACCGGTGTTAGTATATCAAACAAAAGAAGAGAAACACCATCTACTGAACGAGCTGAAGATATTAACAAAACAGCTGAGAAAAACAGTTACTCGGGAAAGCTAGTCGTTTGGCATTTCTACTTAACTGGTAGGCTCGGGTATTCTCTGCTAGTTGAATTTCGAAATGATTTTTTTTGATCGCACAATGAATTAAAATAGTGGAACCTGATCTAAACTACATTTTATGATTGGATAATTTAGATATTTTACCAATGTAAAGTATTTAATATTAACCAATCATGATCCATCTAACTAACAACCCACTTATTTGTAAGTGCTGAAGTTACTTGTAATTTCAGCACCAGAGAGATTTGAATTTAACTTAGAAATTAGTTGGACTCTCCCGAGCACTTCAGCAGCCGCAATAAACCAGTATACCCTAGATCTATTGAGCCTAGCAGAGACTAGTTAAACAACCTGAGACTAGATAGTATAAGAGTAAGATTAGGATCGGTATTAGACTAAGAAGTTGCACGAATCTATCCGGCCGAAAATAAGATAGCGTGACGAGCAGACGGTGTACCCTATCCGAAATTACTCTATGAGTTAAACAACTCGGTCCTAACTCATCTGGTGCGACCATAAGTCTCGAACAAGACCTTAATAGCTTAGAATTAACCAAAATAGATTAGAAATTAGACAAAAACATTTACAAAATGTTATACGACAATAATTTAATCGAAATGTCTCTACGACTCAATAGATCAGAGCCAATATTCCGAACCATAACAGAACTACCCGGAATTGGAAGAAGACCTCGAACCAGAGACGACATACGACAAAGTAGAAATTTGCCATATAGCTATATGATAGTTAGGCAAAAACCAGAACAAACTTTTATATTTAGAATACTACTGGCAATGAATTTAGATTTTCATTTGCAAACCTAAAATTTTGAAGTCAATCCTCAAAATCATTACAGGCGCTAAACAAAATTATTAATATACAATAACGATTGATAAAAAGATCTAAGATCGTTTTCCTAAAACTCTGCAGTAATATACAAAACATGTTTGAAAAATATTTATTGAAAAATAAAAAATAAAAATTAGTAGCATGACAATAAATGGTTAGTAATCATAAATCATCCTGTTGTTCCAGCTCCATCACCTAAAACATAACAGCAATCATAAACCCACTAATATCATCAAAACACTAAATCTTTCCTTTACACACATTAAAAATTTTATTAAAACTTAAATTCACTTAATTTTAAAACCAGATCATCAAGGCTTATCCTTGGATCTTAAATCATTTTCTACTTAATTAAATTTCAAATTTGATCATCAAGGCTTATCCTTGGATCAAACAGAACAACTTTGTTCTCCCCCACCCACTTAATTAGTGTCTAACGACCTCAAACGTCGATTCACTACCCAACCCTTTCTAAAGACCTAAGACTAATAGAAATTTTTAAACAAAACTAATCATTCAAATTAGGATAAATAGTGAAGAACTTCGGTTATTCATCCTTCACTTGACCCCCCCTCTTACCAGACCCAGGATAAATCTTAGACTTAGTAAGTTTAAAATAGTATCTAACGAACTACTCGCGTTCTAATTATACCTGAACCTTGTGGATCGATTTACTATTCTCCAACCCTTGAACACAATCACTACCCCTAAGTAAGATTAAGTAAGTTAACACCTTAACTTATACTAGCCACGAGAAAGTAAAAAATCATTCTTCGGAATCGATATACTTTTCTCTCCAACCCTGAACAAATAGACCCAGGTTAAGCTAACCAAAAAATCGTAAGAACTAACAGTTTAGGAAAATAGAAATCATTTAACAACCTTTTGCATCCGTCATCCTAAACCTTATGTCATTTAAAAACCTAGGAAATAAACAAACAATCGTTTTACACAATTGTGAAATAAATAACAAAAAATACGACCTTGTAATCACACCTCATACACAAACAGTTGGATACATTCGAACAAAACGACAAACACTAAAAAGAAAAATAATAACGAAACAAAGACAAATAACACGAAAAAGATTTTCAAAAAATCGAAACGCATTTTCAGAATCAGAAACCAACAGTTTAGACGAACTTTACAAACTAAAAGAATCAATAGATAAAAATTACCCACTTCACGATCAATTATATTTTTCTGACTCAGAAACAACTTCAAATTCATCAAAAAGAGGAAAAAGAAGAATAAAAAAGCAGTATAAACACAAACCAGTACATTTATACAATTGGAATCAACCAATTCGACACATTAATAATTACATATTAACAGTCATCGAACGAAAAAATGAGCTCAACGCACACCCCAGGTGAAGAAAGTCCAGATGATGATGAAATCTTTCCTTTTATAGTAGATGCAACCACTGATAGAGGACAGCATATATTTTGCAAAAATTTACTATTAAATTTATTTGAACCCGGAATTAGTCCATGTAAAACAGAGTTCCCAGATGTAAAAATCAAAAGACAAATCATAGACCACTACTTAAAAGATATATGCAACATAACACAACAGTATGGAATCTACTCCATAGAATTCACCTCACCAAACCATAATAATAGAAAATATACAATTCAAACAGACGATCTTGATTTAGAAATTTCAAAAGTTTTTTCAGAATATATAAAAAGCATCCAATATCATAACTCACAAAGAGCAAACTCCATATTCACCAATGAAGTTTTCGCAATAATATATAGTTATATTTCGATATTAGAAAACGAAATCCCAATAACAAATGTCTCACCGACAGAAACATCTAAACATTTAAGAGTACGACATGAAATCACACTACTCTCTAGTTATTTAAACATCATTAAAGAAAATTTCACGAAAGACGACGTTTCACAACATACAAAACACGATCTACAAAAAATTTTGGCATGGTTCATAATAGATTATTTCACACACAATATTGATTTAATTGCACAAGCAAGAAAAAATTTTAGACCCCAAAACTCGAACGATGATACCGCTATCACAGAACAATCAGATTATGTTTGGGACCCCGAATGGTCTCATCCCGCATTTATAAGCTTCCCACAAACAATCTCAAGTCAAGCAATAAGTACGATATCTTACATAAGAGATTATGTAAAAGTAATACCATTAACCATTGATGCGACACCATTAAACTATAATACATTTTTACCCGATACACAAAATAATAGTTTAAACTCTACAGTAATACACAATGAAAACCTCAATGGAACTAGGAATCTTACTCAACAAGATATCCAGACACCATCACACTTCATAAATGAAGAAATTGTGCACACAACAACTACACAACAAAGTATTTCACCAATACGCCCAAATTTAACAACACCAAGAAATACAAATCCTTCACAAACACAGGTAACCTTACAATCAACCGTTAAACCTTCGGTTGCCCCTAAATATTCACATATGGATTACCAAACATACAGACCCATGACAATACCATCAAAAACACGCAAAACATTCACTAGAAACAACTTTACAGACCATAATTATAATTATACACATCCATCAAAAACATATAACCAACCACAAAGAAATTTTAACCAATATACAAGATCTCGAAATTGGGATAACCCAATGACCCAACCTAATTCAATAAATTTCCAAACAAATCCTCCACAGGATCACAGTGAAAATTACCCATTTTTTCAACAAAATAAAAATAAAAAACAGACATCTTATCAAATGGATTATTTATCCTCAGATGATGATTTCTTACAACCAGATATATTTGCAACAAATACTCAAGAATATCGTAGACAAGGAATACAGAGAACGCGTACAAATCATAGAAATTTTTCTCCACAACCAATAGATGCACAACATCAACAACCAATTCAACAACAAAATCTAATTAATACACAATCTTTTCAACCAAACCAACAACAAAATCCAATGACTGCACACTCGTATCAAGCATCACAAATGCAAAATGAAATACCACTCCCATATTATCTCCAACAACATGAAATAACAAGAAACCAACTTTCGAATTTTTCTCAAATGCCAAATGCAGCAGAATCATTACAAATGACAATGAATCCATACCTTATGGGTGGATCATCAATAACATCAAACAAACCTTTAATGGTTTTCACAGGAACAGACCCTGAATATTCTGTAGAAGATTATTTAAATGCAGTAACAGCAAACCTGATTTTAAATATTGGACCTGAACCAATTAATACGCCACTACATCAAAATTGGATACATCGACGCACAGCGTTAATACAAACAACCTTAGATGGCGCAGCCCAAAAATGGTTTTCAGTACTACCTCTAGAAATAAAATCAAATTGGAAAAGATTTACACAAGAATTTTCAAAAATGTTTGACTCCGAAAGAAACAAACAACAACAAAGAGTTTTATGTAATGAAATTCGCAGATTACCAAACGAAACCATCAAGCAAATAGCAGTACGAATCAAAACACTAGTTCGAAAAGCATATTCATTAAATACACATGACTATAAAAACACAAAGATGACAGAAATCTTAATGATGACCTTAACACCACAATTAAGGAAAATAGCAATAAAAAAGAGAGCATCCCATCCTTCTTCAATTCGAGAACCCGATTTAGATTTTCGAAAACTAGTAGACAAATTAGAACAAGCAGAAATCACGATGAAACTAGAAGAAACGGAAAATCTGAAATTACAATACGTTAATAGAATTGAAACGACTCCCACTAATATTAATAATATACAGGAATCAGAGACAGACCTCGTTGAAAAAATCACTGAAATACTCAATATTTACGAAAAGAACCCGAACTTTAAAGGCAAACCATCTTTCAAAAAATGGTGTAATTATTGCCGACGATACGGACATAGTATTTCCGAATGTAGACAAAAACAGCAAGACAATCAAAATAAACCTCAAAAATATAAAGAACCAAATAAATCATTCTATCAATACATGAAAAAAGATCAAAATCTACCGAACAAAACAGTCCACAGCAACAACAGTTCAGGAAAACCACTCCCAAACAATACAAATTATACAAGAAATCAATCACCATATAACTCAAGTTATAGAGGAAGATCGCCAGAACGAAGAAATACACAAAATTCAT